CCTTCAAATTTATCTGTTCACTACACTCAAAATAAAAATAACCATGTAGGGGAGAGTGGGGGAATTTCGTCACAGGGGCAATTTCGTCACCTGCAATATCTCGGAATCCATAAGTCGTAAAAATATATAATTTTTTTGTTTTAGTCCTTCAAGACGGCCAGACACAACCAATGCATTTGTTTTGCACAGAAGGCCAAGATAATTAAGCTATAATATTAAATGTGTTTTAACAGTTCAAAAGCTACATTTAGTTCTCGACGAAATTTTTTCTGTATGCCACAATTCAAAAGGAATAAGATACACGATTTTTTATATAATACACAGTGCTATAATGTGCATTTCTGCGTCAGTGATTTTTAACTTCGTGCCTAATTTCGCAAGAAAAATAATTATTTCTAAAAAAGTACGGTCTGGGGAAATTTCGCCACCCTACGCTAAGGGTAAATTCGCACCTATTTTAAATACATATTTTTATATTTGACGAGCTGGCTAACGAACAGACTACCAGCAGCAGCAACAAATATAGGACGTCAAAAAAATGGTACGCTTGATCAGTGTAGCATATTTTCAGGCGTTAAACTCCCTACATTTTTTAGGTGACGAAATTTCCCCAGTTGTGTGGTGATTTTACCCCCCTGTGTGGTGAGATTGCCCCAGTATATTGGTTTTACATTTTATTTTTTTATAAATCACTAAGCTAATTAAAAAAATAGGGGAATGTCACATTTTAAAGCTTGGTGCTAACCGCATTCAACAATAAAAATAGAAATATGATAACGTGTCTCAAGATGGACAAAAAATAGCTTTGAAAAAATGCTGACGAAATTCCCCCACTCTCCCCTACCTACATTTTGATAAGGAAAATAAAATTTCAATTGGAATCAAACTCTTTATTTACATACATTGTGTTTTTATTGCTTTAATAGGTGTTTTTAAAATATCGGAATTAATATGATTTTTTCTCTTCCACCCACCCAAAAATGTAAACATACACACACAGGCCCATATAAGTATAAGCCTAACGAGGAAATGTTTTTTGTTTTTATAAACTCCACAGTTCAAAAAGGGTTAAGGTTGTACCTTATAAATAAGATTGAAACATTTAGCTTTTATGTTTTATGGTTGAAATTATTAACTTCTATTCACAGGGCTCCTATGCGAAAAAATTTAAACATTCCACTGCGGACTTTACTATAATGTGTAACTTTCGAGTGTTTCAAAATGTAGTATCAAATGTAATATTTCAATTAGTAACTCTTCATTTTAGTATCATTTTTGTATGAAGTCAAATGTTTTAAGGGAACGGCTTTTATATTTTTTGAATTAAATTTAAATGACAATATTTTTAAGTTAAATATCCCACCTTTCCCTATTCACACCATTAATTTGGGGAAAAATAAAGGCAACAATTACTTTGAAATGTAACACATGTAATTTAAATTTACTTCTTTAAGTTGTTCATGATTTTTAGAGAAAAATGAAATAAACAATTTATTAATTGTTTAAAGCCTGGCGAGTAGCGGCCATAAAAGCACTTAATAAGGGCATTAAAGATCATGGTGACAAAAACACAAAGAAATGTAGTCCCCACCTTATTAAAACAAAAGTTGTGTAAAGTAAACCCAGCTTTATGGCACAAGGCAACGCCATTCTAATTACGGCACCTACGCAAATGCAACTGGTTCCTTAAGCGGAATGCACTCAAAAGGCGCAGTTGCAGTATCCATGGCAATGCAATTACCAATCCCAGGACACTAAGTCGATGTCCTGGCACTCACGTGAACACAGGGTCTGCATCCGGTTTCGGTTGTCTGTTGTCTGATTCGTCCCACTGTGCAATGAGGCGGGTGGCACAAATAATTGCCTTAAATTAGCGCTGCATTCGGCGGAGCTGCTGGCTGGGTGGGCGAACAGATAGAAGGACGTTGCCTGGCATCAACATCAGCGTCAGATTCAGAGTCAGCTCCAGTGGCAGTTGCCTCGTTACAAGTACTTTATGCAGTAATTGCAGTACTTGTCCCGGCTGCTGCCGCTGCTTTTGCTGCTACTGCATTCAAGTGCAATTCTTTTTCGCTAATGAAAAGCGCAGTGCAAAAATACAAAAATATATCTCATCATGCCAAATGGAATAAAGTTATCTGCTTGCCAGCCGAAGCTAAAGCCTCCACATAGAAATGGTTTAATGACACTGAATGAATGTGAATTTCGGACAAAAGTGAATTTCCTGACAGAAAGTGACGGACAGAGGTAATTATAAATAATAATAAAAGCGAAAGCATGAAAAAGTTCTTCCAGTCGCTTAGCAACTTATTCTTGCGGATGCTCACAAATTTAAAGGACTGTCTTTTTGAAATTATTATTTAGTATTCTGTATTTTAGTTTAAGTCGATGTACGATATCCACCAATATTTCTAAAGTTGTTTTACTCGCAGGTCACTAGTTGGGTTCCCAAAAACGAACCAAGCACTGGAGGATGGATTTAGTAAAATATTTAAAACATCACAGGAAACACAACTTCTTCAATCAATATCATATCCATCGGTTTTCCAAATCATTTATTTCCTCAAGTTTCGCCAGCAAAGTGTTCCCGACACTTTGGTAAGAAATATTTTCAAATGCTCCATTTTTTTTGCCATTTTCTGGTGACCCGCCCCATTTTGCCCACCTCCGACTGAGATTTCATTTCCAGTGGCCATAGCGTTCGGTGTTCAAGGGGGTCTGCACAATTTCCGCTGAAATTTATGTGCCTTGCCCCACAGAAGAGCAGCAGCAAATGCACAAGGGTAAGAGGAAGATGCAACAAGGCCGCGCACAGTGGGGGCAAAAAATTGTAAACACTTATTTACTGTCCATTTCCGCTGGCTTTTGATGTGCCACTGGTATTTTTGCTGCCCGGCTTACAGCTGGAAAAGCTGGAAAATGCATTAGGCAACATTTCCATTTGTATTACCATTTGTATTTGTATTTGCAGTCATTTTTCCTTGCGCCGGGTGCCGAGTGCTTATTTATTCAGCTTGAGCTTTGTTTGCTGGTTTTTCACTTGCATTCCGCCGGCAGGTGCCCCCGGTCCCGCTCACCACCCTCCAGCTTCCACCCTCAAGCCCACGTCCATCGTCCTTAACGGCTCACCTGGCCAAATCAATTCTGTTACTCAACACACGCTCACCCATGCCCATATATCAAAGCGGGAGCCAAAAGTACGGCTTCTCGGGGCGCAAAATGAGATGATGCACTGGAGCATTGATTGCGGGACTCTTACTTTGGTCAGTATATTCCATATACAAGGCAGACGAAATCGAAGCACATATTTCTTTGCCTTTAGAGCATTTTTGGAGCACTTTCCATCTGTATTTATTTTCAATATTATTTATATTCACTTATTGCACACTTTGGCCGAACGCTGAAAAGTTAAGGTATAGGCAGGAAATTTACAGGAAATTTGTTAAGCCAAAGTATTCTCAAATAATTGTTTTTTATATGCTAAAGAAGGCGTTCCTCGGATTAGATTGAAAAAATGGTTATTCTTTCAAGAAGATCCAGTCAATTTGCTGTATTTTTTTTATCTGGCAAGTTTGTTAAAGAAATTCAAAACGGCAGCACAGTTTAAAATAATACTAAAACTATTCAGAAACCGACGACGGTTTTGGGGACGGTTGGCTTGGAAACCAACCAAACAAAACCGTCGGAAAAACAAACCACCGAGATTTGCATTGAGAGGGAAATTAGCTTGAAAAGGATTTCTGTGATTTAATTTTTCACCGAAATTGAAATACCATTGCAATGTGTTACGATTTTTATACCAATATTCTGATTTATATAAATATCCTTATTCGAAACCCCAATTATTTATTTATTTAATTATTTTTTATTATCCTAGCGCAGCAAGTTAAATTTAAAAAAAGTTGTATGAATATAGTACGATGTTTTTTATTATTATTATATTGATAGCCTTTTGACTGCAGATAGACCGAAAGTTAGGACTAATCTTTATTAACGCACATAGTGATGCTACGTATGTCTTTTGTTCTGGGTGGCAAACACCCAACAAAAATAAAAATAATCACTGCGGGGGTATAAAAATAAAAGCCTTACGGAATGCTTGCCAAAAAACTGTATTTGATAAACCATTTACAAGGATAAACAACATTGAAGCCCTTGTTATTTATTCATAATTAATCACTTTTTTATTTAAAAGCAAATTGAAAAAAACCTTAAGCGATGTGTTCATGGTTAAATAGTTTTTTCATGAAATGTCAGTTTAGTTCTGTAAACTGTGACCACTAAGCCGAAACAATTTATTTGATGCGGTTTTTTGCTAAAGTCTTTAGTCTTCTTTTTAAAATGTGCTTGCGAAAATTATTGAATTTTATTTAATAATAAATCATTTTGGTCACTCTTTATAAAATTATTTATTTATAAATAATATTTCCCAAAAATGTTTTGGTAAAAGCTATTGACTTTAAATAATTAACGATCCTTTCAGGTGGTCCATTGAGAAAGTTAATTATGAATGTAAGTCTGGCACACTTTCATTAAATAACTTAAACGTTCGAGGAATTTATATATTTTTGGCTAAAGTTTAAAGTTTATTGATTTTCAAAGCTGCAGGATCTGCCTTTTTTTTTTAATTTTCCAGGGAATTTTGCAAAAATAAGTTTAATGGTTTCTGAAGAATGTTTAACTTAAAATAATTATTGTTAAATAAAATATTTAAGTCCTATGCGGTCTCTACTAATGAAAGTGAATGCTTACGAGTCCAGTGCATATATTATTCAGGACTCTCTAACTTGCGGACTATTGAAAATATTTGATTTAATAAAAGCCTTCTTTTCGGGCATTTGTTTCAGCATTTTCCGCCCAGTCATCGTCAATCAATCAATTTGCCGCTGTCATAACAACTGTGCATCAGCAGAAAAGTTGGCCCGTTTTTACCCGAAAACCTCGAACTGTGGTTTCTGCGGTTTAGTTTTTTGGGTTACGGTGTACATCTTGGCACTCACCCGAGAGACTGGCACGTGTTTTTTATTTGGTTATTTGGAGGGCTGCACTTTCTGTTTCGGAATTTTCACGCACACATTGAGCTCCAGCACAATCAAGCCAAAAAAGTGCTCCACTCCCGCACAGAACACTCAAAAAATAAATCAACACTCGCGCAGGGTCACAGGACTGAATGTAATATTTATGTTTAAAGTAGTATACTTTCGAACGGTATTTTATTTATTTAAATAATAATGATAAAATTTTTCGTTTTTCGGAAGGGAGCTTGGAAAACTGTGATTTGATAGCACTCGCAAAATCTCGACAATGTCTGGCGTGCGAAATTCGAGCGTCGCCTGTCCGCTGGACCGCAGCAGTTGGAAAACGCGCAAAGACTGAATTTCGGCACTGGCCGTCAGCTGCCGGCAACTGCATCCCTCGCTCGGCTTTTCCCCGACTTTCCCCGACTTTCCCTGGCGAGGCGGTACGAGCGGCCCCGAAGTGCCGCCGATCATCTCAGCAGCATCCACGAGTGGCTTGTTGCCGCAACATATCGGAGCTCGTTGTCGTTGTCGGTGTGTCGTTGGCGTTGTCATCGGCGCTCTTCGGCGTTGTGTTTTCTGTTGCTGCCGCCGCGAGTGAAAACTCCCGCCGCGGGGGCAGCCGCTTTTCCTTTTTTCCACGGCGTGCTATTTTTGTTAACGCCGCCAATGCCGCTGGCTCACGTGTGCGTTAGGTCAGTGACGCTTCGCATGGCACCGTCTAGATGTTCAATTTATTTTCACGCTGCGACTGCACTGGGGGAAAATGGGAGATTCCGCACTAATTAGTTAAGCTAAAGCGCGGTCTTAACGCTACAACTAAGAGCCGTTTTCTCGTTCGCTTGTTAAATTTAAAGTAGGGTTAAAACCTTGAAATCGTATGGGAAATCAGAGTTGTAACCGTACTTTTAACGGACGAGAAAACGGCCCTAAAAATAAGGAAATGGCAAGGCAAAGGCAACTAGAAAATTCCCATAGCCACAGCTAGTGGAGGATCCTAGTTTTTTTTTTGCATACTTTTACAGTGTTTTAATTGATTAAAATTTAATTCACATTGAACCCTTTAAAGTCTAAAAATCTTTTCCTACCACATAAAGAAACTATATTTAAAAAGGATAACAGCTTAAAATAATAAAACAAAACATCTGTAATAAAAATGTTAACGTTATTCTGATACATTTATACCTGTGAAGTGTCAGTGAGAAGAAAAAAAAATGGATCTCTTTAATAATAGCACACCGAAAAAAATGATAATGGCTCATTTCGATTATGCTCTTCGCAATCCTGATAATATTCGTTCAGTTCCCAAGTTCCGTTTATTTATCAGTTTTCCTTTACTTTTTCCCGTTTTGGTGTTTAGCTTGTGGTTTGCATTTATTGCTTGCAGATGACACCGCCGTTATATTGAGGGAGATTTTCCATATTTCACGGACTTTATTCACTGACAGGCGACGAAAGAATTAATAAATGCAAGGAGCGGCAAGCGTCGCTAATAATAATAAATGCATTCAGAAAAACAGGTGGTCTTAACATAACTCCATTGAATATGCTTATTTTAAACGAGTAATAACCATTAATTTTTACACTCTGGCAATTTAATTTTGCTTAGGAATTTGTAGAGATGACAAATCCAACCCTATATATGATCATCATCACTAAAGAAGTCCATATACCGACATTCAGAGAAAAAAAATCAATGGGTCTGAAATTGAGTGAAGCACGCAATTGGGTCTTACTTTCATGTCAAGAACGTTGCACTCTCAAGCCCGCATTGCTAATTTGAGAACACTTTTCTTCGCAATTAATTAGGGGAGTGTAGGGTAATGTGACGAGTAGGGTAATGTGACGAACTCGTCGAATCTCACATAGGACGTCACTATAAAAATTCTGAATAAATGTAGTCGTCTCCTCTTATCGTGTCGACAATGTTTTTACTGTAATATTATTAAGAAGTCCCGTGTTCGTGTGGTAATTTTTTCTAAAAAGGTGGTGCACAAACTAGCTCCGTTGGATTTTCGAATCGTACTTTCACAGAAATATGCTGAATAGATATAAGCAACGTTCTGCTTTCACACTTTTAAAAAATATTGAATCGTTCGTCACCTTACCCTACAATTTTTAAAAGAACAAAATTAAAAAATTTAAATTTTTTTAAAATATTTTTCTGAAAGATATTAAGATGTCCCACAAAGTTGTTAAAATACCTCAAACGAGTCTCAAGTGCTGCACAAATTAAAAAACGGACCTTAATTCAAAAAAAATGTTTAAAAATAAACAGTAAGAGATAAAAAATTAATTCTCTAACGAAAAAAAAAGTTCGATCATTTCTGAGATTTGACCTTAATTGGCCTATCACGTTTCACGTGGAATGAGCCCTTTTCTAGTTGGCACTTTTTATATAAAGCAGCGGCCGGCAGCGCAGTGAGCATAGGGTTTTGTTCTGCCCAGCCGCTGCTCGCTCACGTATACTGTAGAACAGCGGTCTGCAGACACACTCTGATGATCTGCCCAGTGCAATTTACTCATACAAATATTTAACTAAATGTTATTGTATGTGTTGATGAACGGATTGCATCCATAATTTGAATTCGAATTTTTGTTAACTGGTCATGTGAAATACCAGCTTCGCCCATTTTTAGTATTTTTAAGTATCTTCTGTGCTGCGTGACACGATGAGATTTTTTGGTTTTTTTAAGTTAAGTAATGAGACTACAGCGGAACATGTCGGTTCAATAAAGTTTAACTCAAAATATACAGTCCATTCAAATCGGAAATAAACCGTGTTTATTCATCACCAGTATGTGTGTGCCGACCGCTCATTTAAAGTGAGCTTTATACTGTGAATTCCCATCCGTTGTAAAGGCATACAATATAGTTTAATATAATTAAAACAAGAAAGGAACTACTATTCTCTCAGTTTTTAAGCTATCGGGATGAAACATTCCCAAAAGTCTTCTTTCTATTGCAGGTAGTATATAAGTCGGAACCGATCGGATCGGACAACTATTTCTTATAGCTCCCATAGGAAAAATCGGAAAAAAACGTAAACAAAATTCTAGCTTCGGTGTTTTTTAAATATTACCTTCTACTCTTGGGAATATTATTTTTTAAATATTTCTGAATTTCGAATAAAATTTTTAAAAAATCGGATAAGGAACGGTCCACAGTGGGGCGAAAAAGCCAAAAGTCTGCCTTAAATCAGCGGAGCCCTATATCGAATATCTTTTGATGGGGCATTGTTAAAGGCAATTAAATATGAAAAAAAAAACATAATAAAGTGAATTTTTTTAGTGAAATTTTTTTGTTGTAGAAAATTTGTAAGAAAAAAAAAATTGTTTTTTTAAGAAAAAAAAATATAAATAAATTACTTATAGGGTTCTAAGTTTCAAAATATTTTTTGTTAATTTAACTTGATTTTTGAAAAAAAAAATTATTCAAATCGGTCAACTATATCTTATAGCTGCCATATAAACGCTTAATACAAAGGGGAATGTCTCGGTTTTATTTCAATATTGGTTCATATAAATTGGGATTAAGTCATTATTTATCATTTTAGCTCTATGCTTACCTTTTGTTTTAATTGGTCAATGATATCTTATCTGTCTGTTTGTCTGTCTGCCTGTCTGTTTACATTTAAAAATGAAAATAAACATGTTAAACGACCATTCTAAAGCAAAAGATTTTAAAACTAAAAACAAAATATTTTGGGTGCAAAAAAAGGGTCGAAAAATTTTAAAAAGTAAAACGCTCCATACAAATTTAAAATGCAAATTCTTTCTGTGCAATCTTCATAAATGTTGTGCAAAGAGAAAGGTATTATATTCTTAGTCAATTTACTCTTTCACTATTAAAATCGGTCTATCAGAACTCAAGATAGAAAACTAAAGTATCTAAAAAAATCGGTAAAAATAGTTTTTTACCCTTTTCTTAATCAGGGACCTTTACCGGAAATCCAAGGTGGCATTTCGATGATTTTGCCTAGTAAAATTTAAATCATGATATAACGGAACATTGAAATGGATTGCAGTATGTGTGTTTTTATATCAAAAATTAAATGAATGTACTTTCTTCTTCGGTGACAGTCACTAACTTCTACACTCATTCTGATCAACTTATTCATGGAGTACTAACACAAGTATGTCATGCTCTTTTGTTCGATTTAATGTTTCACCATTTTTGGGTTAGCGTTTTGTATTGAAATTATCATCTAATTAGTTCATTTATCGATGCCAAAACTTGCCCACTGACATTGTACGCTTTGTTTGGCTTTGTTCCAAAACTCAAGCAAAAATTCCCAAAAGTGGTTAGCCAGTAAAAGGAGTGGCAGTGGCAGTGGCCGAAGGGAGGATGCACTGTACTTCGGTAAGCTCACTAAGCACACACACACACAAAAGATAAATCCCTGCTCTGCTAACCAAACTTAATTATGTCGAGCATTAAAAATGCAACTGTCAAACCGAGGCGACATTAGGATGTAGAGCTCCGCCCAGTTTTCACCTTCTCCACTTTTCACCCCCTGCTTTCCACCTCCTTGTGATCCCTACATTTCGGCTCTTAAGGATTTTTGCTGGGCGTGTGTGCGAGTGTGCAACTTCCTTTATTCTCAGTGCACAATGAACGACGCAGCAGAAGACCACAGTCGGCTTCCGTTCCCAGGTCACTCATCCGCCCTGTTGGCCACATTTTCGACCCGCAAACCGAACCCCTTTTCCCAACCACTATTCTTCGTTCTCCACTCTCCGTTCAACGTTCCCCTTCAAACCAAAAAACATTCGCTTAACTGGGTCACAAGGATAGCCATTAATTTATAATAATTTCAACTAAGATTTCACAATTTCTTTTGCAGCTGCCCCCACTGTTTTGCCTTAACAATTTTCCACACATTTTCCATTCATCATTTGCTGCGCTCCTCGCCCGCTTTTCCACCTTTTCCCACTCCGTTTCAGCCGCAATGCCACTGTCAGCGCCCGCAAAAGCAAAGTCAATTTCGCGCACTTTGCATGCCGCCGCCCACCCACTCGATTTTCCACCCGCGGAAATTCCCTGGCTGTTTTCGGAGGCAGCGCACCCGTTCTTGCATCCAAGTTTTCAACTCCCACAAGCCAGCATCAAATTTACAAGCGCAATGCATCAATCACGGGAATGGTTTGGGGAAAAGGGGGAATATAGTGGAAAACTC